TAACACTTATGATTATATGTTGCTATTATGAGAGCGAGTTACTGTATTTTTGAAAATGTGGTTATTGAAAGTTTATAAAATCGTGCATGTTGAAGACAAAGGAAAAATCGTTTGGTCTATTAACTCCGTATAATTATGTCAGACATGCCAACAATACCTATATGAACCTTGTCACAGTATCTACTTACTTTATTGCTAAATTATTAATAGATCCAAATTATGTATAAATGCTATAACTGACATGAAATTAATTTCACCTCATTTGAACGAGTGGGTGACTAATTTTACTCAACAACTATGCCTTGCAACCAGAGAGGGTTATGTGGGTTTTAATATGGGGTATATATAATTGGATGTTGTGGTTCATCAGGTGTGGTGAGCGGGAGGAAGTGTCGGGCGGGTGATGTGAGGTTAAGTTTGAGGTGTGGTTCATGATGACGTGCAGATTGTGGTTATTTGTGCAACTTATGTTATACTATCCCATTAGAGAAGTTAATATTTATTTTGCAAAACATTTTAAAAAGAGGTTCGTAGCTGTCTGCCTTCTTTATCTTAAAAATTATGTTTTAAATTAGCATGGGATGGGTATACAGCCGATATATATATATATATATATATATATATATATATATATATATATATATATATATATATATATATATATATATATATATATTTATAATTTTTACCCCCACCCCAAATTTCAGCTTAGGTCACATACTTACAAACACTGCATTGCACTTGGTTTAGTCAACAACAAATAGACAAATGGGTGTGGTGTTATTATTATTTTGGCGTTATTTCAATTGTTTCAATGCTAATAACTATTTTATGTTCATGCGACAACTTTTTCGTACGTGCAAATTTTATTTTTCAAGCTACATCAATTTAAATAACGGCCGCGTTATTTTCTTCATGTTGAAGAGATGATACTATACTCGCATGTTTCTTTTAAACTACAGATTTAATTCTGAATCTACTGACTTCTTCGTATTACCAATAGAATCTGATGGATCGATCTAAGGCACGATTCATCAATGTTTTAAACACAACTCTCCAGTCCAGGCAGGGTACCCATCGGTTCATGTGCCATTCGATTATTTATTGATACTGGACCAGAAAATAAGGTACAGACTTCTGGGGTGAATTCGTTAAAAACACGCAAGACTATACAGTACATCCTGGACATTAGGCCCCTAGATCAATCAAATAAACCTATATGTAATATATTATAGTAAAGGATAAATAAAAAAAATAAAAAAGTTATTAATTTCAATTTCTCATAGACTAAAAAAGTATACAAGTGTTATAGTAAATCAGTGATTGCCTGAAGGTTCTTAAAATAATTGAGAATATTTTGTATTATTTATAAGTAAACCATCTTAAATGAACGAATGCAAATGCCTGAATTGATAACTACTACATCAAATCTGTATCAGTCCTTACAAGCCGATGATGAAAACTGTAATACTAAAGCGAACATGGCAATGCAAAATGACGCTGTAAATTACATGTTTTAGGCAAAATAAAAATAACAATAGAAAAAAAATTACATTTGTTTGATATAAAAAAATTGTTTCAGTTTTAGAAGATATGGAGAAAATAGACGGGTGTAAATGAGAAGCTTTCAGATTTGTGAGATAATCCACCGTAATTACGTAGTTAAGGCCCTTAACCTATTGTGCTGGTCTCAGTTCCTATTTGAATCACGGAGTAGATTGGTTCCTTATAGAGGTAGCCCTCAAACAAAATCCATCTTGACGTCAGAAAATACAATACAAAATGTCAGTTTGAGTGCTTCGTGGCAGTATTAAAAATAGTTTGTGCTAATTTTTAAAGTCCTAACTTTAAAGCATTATTAGCTGGATTATCAGTTTTAGCTTAGGGCCGGCAACCTTTTGAGACGGAAGAGCCACAAAATTTCCAAGTTTTCAAAGAGCCACTAACATTTTTATGCACTTCGGTAGTGGAAAGCATGGAACCATTGCCACCGGCGCCCGGGGACAAACTTTTCTCTTTTGCACCCCCCCCCCCTCAAGATTTCGTTTTGCACCCCCCCCCCCCTCAAGATTTCGATTTGCACCCCCTCAAACTTTCAATTTCCACCCCCTCAACCTTTCAATTTATTTTTCCAACCCATTTTGGCGCCCCCTAAGGTCGGCGCCCCGGGACATATGTACCCCCCCCCCCCTACGCTACTGCGGGGCTGGCCACAACATAGTTGTGGGGCTGGGCCTAATGCCTAATGCCCAGAGTTTTTTCCAGCCATCTTCCAGGAGCGCCCCCTCCCCGGAACGAAATGAAATTTATATAGAAAATATATACTTTTAACAGTGTGTCCCCCCGTCCCCCCGTCCCCCCCAAAAAATTATTACAAATGCCGCACCCCCCCCCCCCCCCCGGGGGGGGGGAGTCTGGAAGAAACACTGATAATGACACATATTGACATCAAAAGAGCCGCATGCGTCTCGCGAGCCGCGGGTTGCCGACACCTGGTTTAGTCGAACAAAGCCACAGGCAATTAAAACAGTAGCAGCTTTAGTGGTCGGACGCTGTGTCGGGTGTCAGTAGTAAGTTTAGCTATGGGCCAATATGGCAACGTTCAGCAAATGGTGTGTAACAAGCATTCAAATACCCGCCTTTCGTGTGCTGCGTGGTGGTATTAGGGGTGCATTTATTGTAATATCTTACCGTCCTTTGGGTATCCTCTTATCTTTTTAAATACATTTCTGATAAATAAACTCAAAACTATTTAACCGACATTAAATTAGTGCAATGTGTTAACGTGTTGTATTTGTATGCAGCAGTGTTTCTCACAGATATTTTTGTCCGTTGGGTGTAGCTCTTGAATCTTTCCGGGAGGGAGAGAGAGGGAGATATTCAATTTCCGAAAGGGGGGGGGGGAGACTGGTTAAAGTATTTTTCTATTTAAATAATGTACTAATAAATAATATACTATTTCGCTCCGGGATGAGGGAGGTGGGGGTAGGGGCAAAGGAACTTATTTCGGGTGTGGAAATATATCTGAAAGAAACTCAGATAAGCAGGCTTGGGGGGGGGGGGCGTCTTTTACTTGTCACTAATGTATCAGTCTATAAGACAGTATTTTCCTAGGCCTACTGTACATATAGAGGTCGAAAACTCTATAGAGGTATAAATCGCCTATTTTCTTAACTTGAACCGCTCTGCTTATAATTCAATAGCGCAACTTTTAAAACTTTTTATTTAATTTTATCTATCCTTTTTAGAGAGCCTCGCCTCACAGAATCCAAAGACATATAATTTTAAAAGAATTTCTAGGAAGACAATTTTACAAGAAAAGCAACACTGGTTTGACGAAGAAGTTTTTTTTTTTGCAATTATCTACCTTGGCTTTTTAAAAAAACTAATAGTGTCTAGCTATAGCCTGATTTCTAAACCAGCTGTTAATCATTTTAAAAAAAAATACGTTCTTACATAATACCATCACAATATTCTTTAAAATATGAAAATTAAATTGTTAACATTTTATAGACTTTAGTTGGTTTCGATCGCAAATGTCTATTAGTAATATCGATGGTTATTTCATAAGTCATGTAAGGGAGATAACGTTTTAAACACCGCCATTTTTCTTTATGTTTAAAAATGTACCTGGCAACTTTTTATTCGGTAATGTGGTTAAATAAATTCTAGACCTGGACTAGATCTAGTTGATTAAGATCATTATCTAGAATAGTAAAAAATAAAATGATCGAATGGTGGACGAAAACTATGGGGCAAATAATTATTCTAGAATAATTCTAAATCGATCGAGTAAGATATTTAATTATATAGGTCACTTTAGGGCCTAATTATTGTTAATTAATAATTAGATCTAGACTTAGATCCAATATTTCCAGATTTTTATTTTTGGATTTGCCGGTTTTCTTCAGTAAAAAAAGAGAAATATTAATAGGCCTACAATTTGGTCTTGATTTAATTTTGCATCAGTATTTAGGCTTGGATTTAGGTAGATGGGTTTCTGCGTGAGACAGTCGATTACAGAAACTTCTGAGTCAGGGTAGGCCTAATCGGGATTATCGTGGTGCCAGTTGATAATGACTCATTGTTTTTTATTTTCGTGCTATTTTATTCTCCCCTTGTCAAAACACTTAGGTCTAGCAAAACTAATTATTATTACTAGATCTAGATCTAGTCTAGTAGTTATGCCTATTAACTTTACATTTCTTTTGAATTTTTATGAGTATTATAGGACCTAGACCTATATAGGCCTATACTATATTTAAATGCCAATTTAAAAAATGAATCATGTTAAAAGTCTGATATTAAAAATATTTAGGGCCTAATTGTAGAAGTTGTATGATCACTTCAGTTAGTATAATACACTTAATACAGTTTTACTAATCAATAGATTGAATAGAATCTATTCACTTTCAGCGTAGCAGGCACTAGCAGGATTAATTATATTTCATACCTCAATACAGTGGTGTAGACAGGAGATTTTAGGGGACCCACATGGACCCCTGATCCATAGTTATAGATACCCAAATGATCTAATCCTATGCCTATCACTATCAATAACTTTAAATTATCATTTAACTAGATCTTATAATAATTTTGCATAAGATCTAGAAATTCTAATCAATCCTACTAATAAAATATAAACACTTGTTATAAATTGTTTGTAGATAGCTTATATTAATCTTATTACTAATAATAATTCTTTTCCATAAACAGAAATAGATCTACACTCTTCACAATGTTTGACTTCAACGGAAACTCAAGCATAATGGATGCCATCAGTTTTGATTGGTTGCTAACATTTTTACCGGATTCCCTTTACTATAATATTACTTTCCTTCTGTCTATATCAACATGTAATGAAAATTCACATCAAACTAACCAAGATACATTCAAAGCGAATGGTTGGCAAGAGAATTCAAACAAGGAACATAGTTTTTTCACAAATTTGATTAATCTTTTTAACTTTCAACCTATAAATGAAGCTGAAATTACTGAAAAGGAAAATTTATTTGAGGGTGATTTATGCAGCCCTGTTATACATATATTTTGTAACAGAAGTATTTCTTTATATTTTTTGTTTATCATTTGTATTTTTCTCATATCAACATTCATTAGTTTAATATTGTTTCGGTGTTTTAGTTTCCTACGTAAGACACATAAAGAAAACAAAAAATTACAAATAGAATCAGAAGAAACTTCAAAAAAATTAAGCCCCTCTGAAAAGAGCTTAGCATATTCTAGTTCAAAAAAGGTTAGCTTGGAATTTCCTATAAAATTAAATATATTTTACTGTGAGAATAACTTAAAAGATATTAATGAACCAAGTTCAATGCAGATATTTGAAGCAATTGTTGAGCATTATCTTAAAGAACTTTCATTTTCTTCTGGGATGGACTGGTCATCCTTGTTTAGCCAAGCTGGGTACAGCCCGATCGCCTCTACTTCTCCATCATCTCTCAGCTCAGTGAGTTCAATCACTTCACCTCGGCTAAATAGAAGAACAATTCAACAACATCGACGAGGGTCTCCATCTACAGATACCAAACAGCCTAATTTTAAACTAACTAAAGAACATTCAACACATTTCTGGATCAAGTATGAACAGTTCCAATCAGAAATGAAGTGGGTGTATCCAGATAATGTCTTAGACATAGCAAGTGTTCAACAACTTTCCAAACATGATGATAAATTGTCATCAATTCTTCAATTTTTACATCAAAATTGTATTAAAAGTCAACAGTGGAGTATGGCAACTTCAGTTATAAATTATTCTCTTTTTCTCCTCCAACAAGAACTGAAATGTCATTGTCTGGAAGTGTCGGAACTATTTACCTTTTCCAAGTTTGAAAGTGTTGGCAGTGCAGCAGATGGAACTCTTATAGGATGTGCGGACAGATTTGATGTGCTGGTGGTTTTTGAGCTTTCCAAATGTGGAGAATTCTTAGCACTGCATAGCAACCTAACGCCAGAAATACCTGCTGGTCAAGTAATCCTTGGTACCAGAGACGCAGATGTTACTTCTACAAATAAAAGTTATCTTAAAAAAACTGTTGTGGAAAACATCATAGCAGATTTCATATTACCAAATGAATTTGAAGACCATATTGAAATTTTAATTAAAAAAATTATTTTAAAATTAAATAGTTCATATAGGAATAAATTTGATAAACTACCGTTTAGTTTTCAGATGTCACCTAGTAAAAAGTTAACCATTAGTTTTGATACCAGATTAATGCAAGGCTTTGGTGTTGACATTGCAGAAATCAGCTTGAGATTAATACCAGCTATCAGTCTTTCTTGTACAGAGAATAGTTTACTCCCTCCTGTATACGCAGTCCCCTCGTGGGGAGATCACATCAAACTTGGACTCAATGGAAACACCCAAGCCAAATCAATGTTAGGTAGAATATTTAGAGATGATATCCTGGATCATCTGTTTTGGAATCTCTCTACAGAAAAACTGAAATCTGGCATCGTTGCTAGCTTTGAAAACAGGCTGCAGTTAAGTGGTGTCAGAAGCTGTCACAGACTATGTCAGATGACACTTAAAGCACTGTTTTCTCAAGGGAATAAAAATAAACTTCTGAATAAAGGGGAAGTCGACGCTCACATTATAAGTCACGTGGTCAGTTTTCTTCTTCAGGAAAGTCCTCCCTCCGCATGGACTTCTGACAACCTGTCAGACAGGGTCTCCGATGCTATTCACTTCTTGAGGTCATCATATCAGAATATCTGGCTGCCAAATTTTGCCATTCACAATCCTCATCTTGTTGCCAAAATGCCTTGTCTAGAAAATATGGCCGCACTCTTGTCAGGTAAACAACAGAATTTGTTAGCACATGTTAGTGAGGATGCTGCCTTGAAAGTGTTAGATTACATTGAGCTTCGCCTACAAGAAACAGGACTAGCAAAGTGTGTGAAGAATGAATTTTCCTCCCAAATGTGGGAGTATGAATTTTTTATGTTTGGTTGATATTTATTTTGATTTTAAAATAAAAGAATTAATCTGGCATCTTTTCAATATCAGAGTTTAGGTCTGGTTATTTTTAATCAAGAAGTTTTTGTTTGAATTTATGTAAAATTGAATACACTATAAATTTTACTTTCATATAATTATCTGAGATTTTCTAGATCTTCAAGATTTAATTTTCATAAAAAATAGAACCACAGTTTTTTGGAGATTGATTTTTAAAATATTCTTGTATTCACACAATCCAAGCAGGCCTATTAAGAATGTTTTATTTATAACATTTAATGCTGCTTATTTTCAGTACTTATGTACTATTATAATTATAGCATGTTGTGACTCTTTTAAAAATACTGTATAATTTTAACCACAATTTTTTTTAACTTTCTTATATGTGGATCTATACTGCTATTTTTAACTATATAGATTTTAACTATGTTGAAAATAGATATATAAATCAAAAAGTTGCAACTTCTTTGTTATGTAATAATTAGCATTTTTAGACTATTATATTTTATTAAAATTAGGTTTAGTTGATTTTTTAAAATCGTTTTATATAGAATTTTTAACTTAATACTGTACTTAATACATTTTAATATCGTATGTGGTGTGCTGTTACTTAAAACATGTATGTGTGTGATTGTTAGAATAAAGTATTGAATGCTTGTATTTTACCTTTCTAGATCTGCCAATTTTGTCAAAATAATGCATGTTTGTATTGCAATCTTTTTATACACAGGCCTATATATTTAAATAAATAATTTATTAATTTGATGTTTTGCTATTCAGCTGTGTGAAATGTGTACCATGTTTGATCTTTTTTCATTTTCTTCACAAAATACCTGAGCATTTGAAATTTAAATAAGATATTGAAATAAGTTTTTATTTTTAAAAAGTCAGTTGTGTCCCTTATACAATAATAGCTCCTCCTTCCATCTTTCTCCCAGTATTACCTCCCCTCACCCCATTTCTTCTCTTCCCCACACCCCACCCACACCCATTCATCTCGCCTTGTTTGAGTGGTTTTGTGATTAGCAACGTTCGATATAAAACACGCTTTGGCCTCGATTCTGTCTTTCTTTCTAAAGTAATGAGTCTGTCTACCGCAGTCTGTCTACCGCGGGACTCTCGTGGCCATCAGGATGTCATGAACTGGCGTCAGGTTAGCCCATATAACTGGCGTCAGGTTAGCCCACATCATGGACTGGGCATCAGGTTAGCCCATATTGGAAACTGCGCGTCAGGTTAGCCCACATCATGGACTGGCGTCATGTTAGCCCACATCATGAACTGGGCATCAGGTTAGCCCACATTGGAAACTGCGCGTCAGGTTAGCCCATATTGGAAACTGCGCGTCAGGTTAGCCCACATTGGAAACTGCGCGTCAGGTTAGCCCATATTGGAAACTGCGCGTCAGGTTAGCCCAGATCCCCACATTCCCTTTGTTGGCCATGATCCTCACATTCCCTTAGTTGGCCCAGATCTCTATATTCCCTTAGTTGGCCCAGATCTCCACATTCCCTTAATTGGCCATGATCCTCACATTCCCTTAGTTGGCCCAGATCTCCACATTCCCTTAGATGGCCATGATCCTCACATTCCCTTAGATGGCCCAGATCTCCACACTTCCCTTAGTTGGCCCAGATCTATATATTCCCTTAGTTGGCCCAGATCTCCACATTCCCTTAGTTGGCCCAGATCTCTATATTCCCTTAGTTGGCCCAAATCTCCACATTCCCTTAGTTGGCCATGATCCTCACATTCCCTTAGATGGCCCAGATCTCCACATTCCCTTAGTTGGCCCAAATCTCCACATTCCCTTAGTTGGCCCAGATCTCCACATTCCCTTAGTTGGCCATGATCCTCACATTCCCTTAGTTGGCCCAGATCTCTATATTCCCTTAGTTGGCCCAAATCTCCACATTCCCTTAGTTGGCCCAAATCTCCACATTCCCTTAGTTGGCCCAGATCTCCACACTTCCCTTAGTTGGCCTAGTTCTCCACACTTCCCTTAGTTGGCCCAGATCTCCACATTCCCTTAGTTGGCCCAGATCTCCACACTTCCCTTAGTTGGCCCAGATCTCCACACTTCCCTTAGTTGGCCCAGATCTCCACACTTCCCTTAGTTGGCCCAGATCTCCACACTTCCTTAGTTGGCCCAGATCTCCACACTTCCCTTAGTTGGCCCAGATCTCCACACTTCCCTTAGTTGGCCCAGATCTCCACACTTCCCTTAGTTGGCCCAGATCTCCACACTTCCTTAGTTGGCCCAGATCTCCACACTTCCCTTAGTTGGCCCAGATCACCACATTCCCTCAGTTGGCCCAGATCTCCACATTCCCTTAGTTGGCCCAGATCACCACATTCCCTCAGTTGGCCCAGATCTCCACACTTCCCTTAGTTGGCCCAGATCTCCACATTTCCCTTAGTTGGCCCAGATCTCCACACTTCCTTAGTTGGCCCAGATCTCCACATTCCCTCAGTTGGCCCAGATCTCCACATTCCCTTAGTTGGCCCAGATCACCACATTCCCTCAGTTGGCCCAGATCTCCACACTTCCCATAGTTGGCCCAGATCCTCACATTCCCTTAGTTGGCCCAGATATCCACATTCCCCCAAGGTGCCCCAGATCCCGGAGATTCCGTTTAACAAAACAGATCCTATCTTTTGTTTCTTCATCACGTTTCAAGAATCCTGTACGATATTTCTACTACAGACGTTACAATCTTGTCAGTAGCTCAATTCAAATTTCTATGTTTCACGTCCACAAGCATCTACAATAACACACAAACAACATACATGGGACATGGGAACGGATGAAGAAGGAGGAATAAAAGCAAGAAAACAATCGGTCCGTTAAGCTACTGGTCAATTCGTTCCGCGCATGAATTGCACAAGACATCCGTGGCTGGGCTAAAAAAAATCAATAAGTCGTCTATGTTCCGTCCACGGGAACCTGACAAATTCATATCAGCCCACATCTTGCTTAACTAGCGCTGGGATCCTGACAAATTCATATCACCCCACATCTTGCTTAACTAGCGCTGGGATCCTAGGGAACCTGACAAATTCATATCAGCCCACATCTTGCTTAACTAGCGCTGGGATCCTAGGGAACCTGACAAATTCATATCAGCCCACATCTTGCTTAACTAGCGCTGGGATCCTAGGGAACCTGACAAATTCATATCACCCCACATCTTGCTTAACTAGCGCTGGGATCCTAGGGAACCTGACAAATTCATATCAGCCCACATCTTGCTTAACTAGCGCTGGGATCCTAGGGAACCTGACAAATTCATATCACCCCACATCTTGCTTAACTAGCGCTGGGATCCTACGTCCGGTCGTAAACAAATACAGCCAGCTTTATTTTCCATTCTCTCGGGAACTGGATTAAGGGGGGGGGGGGATAAGGTCCGGGAGAAATGCATCAGGACCTTTAAAGACAGCGGTCTGACTGGTGTAGATTTATTCCATTAAGGAATCATGCGTTTGCAGTCGAGCTGAAAGAACCATGTATTGTTTCTTTAAGAAAGGGTAGGGGTGGCCCTAGAAATATAAATTTTCAGGGGGGGGCGTAAAAGTATAGATTTCTATAAAAATTATATTCGTTCGGGGGAGGGGGGCGGTAGACTTTGTTCCGGGGGGGGGGGGCAGAGACCCTAAGAGATGCCTGAAAGAAACTGCATGCAGTTGCTTGTGTTAGCCTAATGAGATACATTGTTTAAAAAAATATATTTAATCAGCAGATTTTGAATTGATTTTGAAATGTGCAAAATATCTGAACTAATTTTCTCATCAACTGGATAATTAGTAATTTTGTTTGTTTAATGTGGGGTTTTTTATACATTAAAATGCAAGATTATTTCCATCACAACCACATCCATACAAATGCTCTTGTAATATTCAAAGCAAAAAAAAAATCACATGAACACATTTTTCATTTAAAAGCCAAATTAACGCCAAATAACAACCCATTCCCTGATGTAATTTTGATAAAAGCCAAATTAACGCCCAATAACAACCCATATTTGGATGTAATTCTGGAATTCTGATTACCATGTAAGAAACAAGAAGATTGCAATGTAACTAAAATATGGTTCAAAATGTCAAGAGGAGGAGGTGGGGAGATGGGGTGATCAGTTTTCTGGCAAATCCATGATAATTCGACGTCACGGGCCGCGCGACGCTCCCTCCCTCTCTCTCTCTCTCTCGGTCGGAAGTTCCATTTTATCTGATCTCTCTATCCTTGTACTTCCCTGTTCTTGTTTTCATTCGCCATGGAGGATATCCGGCTCTTGGTTTCACTACTTATCTATGGATCAGTGTGCATTTACCCTGGTAAGTAGCTACTGAAACAACTCGGTTTTAACATACTAAACTACTCATGGTATCCACGATTCTAATGATGTCTTCATTTTCTTACGAAATTCTGATTGTGTTGAAAATAGAAAGGCACAGGGTTCAAAACATCATTGAGTATTTTACAAAGAACGCAAAGTATTATAATTATATTCTAGACCAATAGGAATTATATTCACTTATAGCAGTTTTATTATACTAAAATGTTTGAATCAAAAAGTAATCAACGCAAGTAGTGCCCTATAAAATATTAAACGTTGTTATTTATCTGAAATACCCGGAAGGTTGTTCGCATAGTTCTGTCAAAAGATCTCAATAGTAGACTCGGCACATAATGGAAACAGCGAAACGTGGCTCACGATTCAGCCGTGGCTTTAGCGTCCATTGATTTTTATGATTCATCTTCAAATCTTTCTCGTTTTGAACTGCTGTCCACAGGCTACAACTGGCCCACTCACCAGTCCCACTGTAGCGATTGCTACCACCTCCCAGCCCACATCTTGTAGCGATTGCTACCACCTCCCTACCAAGGAGCGATTGCTACCACCTCCCCAACCCCCACCCTCTAGCGATTGCTACCACCTCCCAGCCACCACTCTGTAGCGATTGCTACCACCTCCCCAGCCCAACCCTGTAGCGATTGCTACCACCTCCCAGCCCACACCTTGTAGCGATTGCTACCACCTCCTCTGTCCAACCCTGTAGCGATTCCTACCACCTCCTTACCCCTACCCTGTAGCGATTGCTACCACCTCCCCAGCCCAACCCTGTAGCGATTGCTAACACCTTAAGTCACCACCCTGTAGCGATTCCTACCACCTCCTTACCCCTACCCTGTAGCGATTGCTAACACCTTAAGTCACCACCCTGTAGCGATTCCTACCACCTCCTTACCCCTACCCTGTAGCGATTGCTA